TCAGGAAATTGGTATTTCAATGTTTCTTTGTTGAATGATAAAGAATTTGTACAACAATGGAGGTAGAGACTTTGCAATACTTTGATTTGAACATCAAGTGCCTGAATGGGAATGGGAAGCATATAAATCTTATATCCAAGATCGAATTATTGCTTATGCATCATATAAAAATAAGACTAAAAATAAAAGGGAAAATAATTTGAAAGATGAATTGAAACATTTATGGGCATAGATGGTTAGAAGCCCATCTGCTACCATGTATAGAGAAATATAGAAGAAATATGAATTAAAAGTTAATAAGCTACACTCTATGACTTTAATTAATTAATTAGTACCCTCTGGTGCAGCTTGCACTGCTACCTGCAACTGACAAAATCCCTGCCTTGACCTTAATAAGTTAATAGCTCATGGCTTTCCCTTCCAGAGTGTCTCATGGCTTGCCGACACCAGCATAGTAGACAAATAGCGGGTGCTATTGCATTCCTTTCAATGAGAATCTTCTCTTGTGTGCCTGTTTACTCATTTGTAATCCCTTCCTCTCCAACGTATGTAACAATAAGCATTAATTTCCTTCTGGTTAGTCAATCCAGCACCAGGGTGAGTGCTCCAAAGAGGAGGAGTGGGGTAAAGGGCTACAAGATCTGCCCCACCAATCTGACTTCCTTGTGAGTTGAATTCTGGAGACTGTTCTCGCTACTCAGGCTCACTGCAGCATTTCGAGGAAGGACCCCCTAGTGCTGTGAATATACTCAGGGACATTTTGTTAATAAACTTTCATAAAAGTTTGCTGCCATCCTGGCATATCCCTTAGTATTCTCATACTTTGGTATCCGTCCTGCAAATTCTGAATTAAGCACTGATACACAAAATAGAGGCAATAGAGGCTATGCTAAATCAGTGTAGAAACAAAAAGCTATGAAAGATTGTCACAATGAAGCAACAGAAAATAATCTCTTGTCGATTCACGAATTAGATGGACCATTCCCAGCAGGCAATTGTGTGTTTCCTATTAAATGACCAAGATTTTAAAGTCTCTAGGAGAGTGGGCAAATTTTTTGCCACAGCAATGACCATCAGAATCTGCTGGGCCTGAAAATAGCATAGGTGTGCTTACCTTCTGCTATGAATAGGCTTTTAACCTGTCATTTTGCATTTTAACATTGCTTTCTTCTTTTTTGGTCTATTATAAATTCTTTACTAAATAAATTATGACCACCCACCATCCATTGGGGATTTGGGCTTATGATATACAAATTATGATTAATTTATGTGATGGTTTATTAATCCTCAAAATAAAATCCCAAGTAGATGTCCAGTGTGGCATACATACCACTTTTCAAATACGCTGTGTAGATATTTGCAAAGGATCCATTGATAAGCACCAATCGGTTTGCAAGTGATGTTACATAAGTAGTTCTTATCCTCTGAATTCCAGTACAATTTTTTCTTTCAGCTCTACAATGTTGAAAGGCTGCACTTAATGATGTGTGGTTGACTGATTTACTACCTTTGGTAATGCCAACAAGGAAATAGCCATCAAATTTGCGGAAATCCTTTGTTTCTACAATGTGAACAAATTTGATTTGGAGAATTAACCATGCTGTTTATAGCAAATCTTAGTTAAGTAAGCAATTCCTTAAACATATTAGTCTTAGAGTGCTTTTATCACCACTTCTTCCATTTCAGAAATGTGTAGGATTTCTATATGGCAAGATGATTTTAGGGACAAGATCTAAAAAATGATGGCAAACTATGTGTTATATTATTGTGTCTAGAGGGGCAGATGGTTTTGATAAAACCTATGACCAAACTCCTGTGATTTTAATAACAATAAAATAAACAGAAATTCAAAAAGTGCAACTTCTTCTGGCACAAAAACAGAGATAGGGACCACTTTATCATCAGAATGTCTGCATGCCAAAGTATTGCAAAAGGTAGAAGAAATTCACTAGTATAACAATGTTGGTACTATTTAATTTTTAAAATAAAAGGTGCTCCAAGCTGAATACTATCTTCCTAGATGCCAAAGATATAAACTTGAGTCCAGTTATAGAGGGATGAGAGGAAAAGGTATTCTCTCCTAGTATTCAGAACTAAGACTGAAAATCGATTCTAGATTAAGAGAATAATTAGGAAATATGGTTTCTTCAACACCATGATGAAAGAAGAGGAAATGAGAAAAAAGAAAAGAATATCATAATGAACATTAACAACATTAATCTAAAAAATTCAGTAACAAACAGAACATGATAAACAATAAGCATTTTGTGACAAAAATCAGGAAAGGAACCTGCAGTGGATGGTGAGAACTTGACATCAGCCTACACACATAGTCCTCGCTTAGTGACCACAATTGGGACTGGCAACTCCATCACTAAGCGCTGCAGTCACTAAGTGAAATACCACATGACCATGACAGGCTTATGACTTCACTTGCCCTTCAGTTGTTAAGCAAAACATCACATGACTGTGACTTATGATTTTACTTCTGCCTTCTTTATTAACAAGAGTTAATGAAGGACAGAAGTGGCAATCACAAGACTGCGGGACACTGCAATGATTGTAAATGCGTGCCATTTGTGAAGTGCCTGAATGGCAATCACATGACTGCAGGATGCTGTGACAATCATAAATGCAAGGATTGGTTGCAAAGCTTTTTTTTTTTACACTGCCGTAACTCTGAACAGTTGTTAAATGAGGCAGTTGGCAAGTGAGCACTACCTATAATTTGAATACACCAGGAAGATCAGAGATTTACCCAGAGTAGGGTTGATTTAGGGGCTCAAGCTGCTAAGGTGGGAAGGTACTGGGTTGACTGACAGTGTCACAGGGTGGACCCATGAAGAAGACAACTACTTAGTGGTGTTCCAAGGTATTGGGTGGGCTGACAAAGTCCAGATATAGGCCCACAAACATTTGTGTGAGTGGAAAGGGAAGAAAGTGTGTACAGATAAACTCCTAGCTCAAGTTGCGCATAACAACATAAAGAATATTTGTCTTCAAATGTATTTGATTGTTTGTCATTTTAATAACATTCTAAAGATTTGCAAATTACTGTGCCATAATAATTGTATTAATAAATTTAACTATCTTACAATATATTTAAACTCAGTGGATATTTTATGATATGAAAGTTCTTATAATTTTTCACATAAATCTGCAACATTAAATCACCTTACCTTCTTCTTTTCTCTTGCAAATCCATAAGTTTTCCCATATACATCCAGTTCCTACCACTGAACCTTCAGGAATGATCAGATATGCGCAGCACTTCCAAAAGAATGTCCACAATTTCTTATGTAACCTCAATTTCAAGCAGAATAGTTATTATTTTAGAAAATGGATTACAAAGTATAAAATAAGGTAGCCCAGGGAAACAACAAGCTCACAATACAATAATGAAAATCAATCTTCTCAATTTTCAATCATTGAAACTATAATATATGTTAACCTGTGCCATAAGGAGCTCAGGAACCAAATGTTAAAAAGCAATGTAGACAGAGGAGGGGTGGGGGGAAGATCTCAGTAAACCAATGAGAGCAAGGCAGAATTTAAATTTAAATTAAATTAGATTTAGAAAAAAACTATTCTGTTAAAGTTTAAATGTTATTATGGCATAAGTATTTAACTTACCATTCGAAATCTGAATTTGAAGCAGTAGCATACGACCACCGCACATAGGTACAAAATCTAATCCCATTAAGACCAATCCAGTAAGTTCCTCCAGGCAGTACAGATAGAAGGAATTTCTTACAAGAGATAGAAATTGGAGAAATTTTTTTTGAAACATTGCATATCAGTTTTAAAAAAAAAACCTTAAAAAAAACATGATCATGATTGGTATTTCCCACTGAAATTGCTTCCTGGGAAATCCAGTGTTATACTGTATAAGAAAAGACAGCCATGTGAAAGCCCAGTTATACCTTTTCAGGTTTACTGGTTATCCAGAGAAGGTCTGTGTTGCTATACCGTCTGCACATGCTTCTTGCCTGTTGCCATTTTTTATTTTCTCCTTTATGGATGTAGTAACAGCTGCCATGCCAATACATCCAATTATCCTCCTCAGGACACCTTCCACCAATCAAGGTTCCTAAAATGTAAATACAAAAATAAAATCAGACCCAGTTTAAAATTGATTTGCTAGAGGTAGGCTTGGGGTTTTCCCTGAGGATCTGGTGGGTGGTTTAGCCAAGGCTCTAGTCACTGGCTGGAATGGGCGGATGGCTGAGGTGTTGGATCTTATTGCACCTATGTAGCCTCTCCCTGTGCACTGATCCCAGGGTGGACCTTGGTTTATTAAGGAGCTCCATCAGATGAAGAAGACACAGCTGGAATGCTGTTGGAGGAAGACTTGAAGAGAGTTTGACCAGACACAAGTAAGAGCCCATATTAGGGATTACCTGATGGCGATAAAGGCTACGAAATGTCAATACTTCCCTACCCTTACAGGTAGTCCTCGTTTAGTGCCTGCCTGGTACAGTGAGTGTTCACAGTTACAATGATGATGAAAAAATAACTTTGCAACCAATCCTCACATTTATGACCTTTGCAGGTCTATAAAGCAAGGGAAAGCTGAAGTAAGAACATAAGCACAGTGGCGGTTCACTTAGTGTCTGCTTCACTTGATGACTGAGTTGCTGGTCCCAATTGTGGTCACTAAATGAGGACTACCTGTATTACATCTGCTGATAGTTTCCATCTGGACTTAACATCTCTTTCATCTTTGTCTATTTTTGTTTTGTGCTGTTTCCTTGTTTTTAAGTGTTTTTAATAATTTGTAATCATGGTTGCTGGGAGTTGGGTAGCATATAAATTTAATAAATTATTATGATTATGATTATATATCATAAAAAAACTTTCTTTTGGCAACTAATACTGATCACTTGATTAGGTTAATGTACTTAACTCATCTCATCCAGCTTCTTTGCCTACCCAAAATGTAACAATTAAGTTTATATTCATCCATGATTCTCCATTTCACAAGTGCCATACAGCTTGGATCCTGTTCTGCTGTTCAATCCCATTAATGTATTAGAGTGAAGGCAGTCTGCTAAAGAAAGCTTCAACTTTCTATTCCACAAGTGATTAATTGATTAATCAACTAAGTCAGACAACAAGGGGGCTGTTGGAAGGGTTCTTTGGGCCTACAGAAACCAAGGGCTAGGTGAACTAGACAGAAATTTACAGGGTGAACTAGAGAGAACTCTTTGTAGGGTTGCCTAGCAAATAACCTTTTGTAGTGAGCATGATGGATTTTGAGCTTAATTAACTATATGATTAATATTCAGTCTTAGTACACACAAACCCTATGGAACAATAACAACCCCCCACCCCCCAAGATTAGGATGGCCCTGAACCTGCCGGCTTTTCAAAGAACACTAACAACTTGGCTCTTCCACTGGGCATTGGGCCAGGATGTTGGTTGAGACCATCTGTCTGTATTTTGTGTTAGATTGTTATTATGTGGGTGCAATATGTTTGCTCTTTTTTTCACTTTCAATTACTGTGAGCTGTCCATGGTTGTACCCCAGTAGGCAGCCATATAAATGGAATGAATAAATACATAAATAAAATCTGAATTCACAGATGCATGGAAATATAACAGCATTGTACTGCTAGGGTGCAGAGGAGTGTGGCAAAGATATGCAGGAGCCTGACGAAAGTGAAGACGAAAGAGGAAACTCAGTTGTAGGAAAGGGTAAGGCATGAGGAAGAAACTCAAAATAACTCTGCCTTGACTACCTTTGGTATAAGAGGGTGCAGAGGGAAGCTCTGGCAGGCTTTCAAGATTCTGTTATTATACCCTAAAACACTAAAATAGCCTTCCTGGAATCCTTGTGATGCCAGTTTTCTGACCTGGCCTTTTTCAAAGGCATGACACAGGGTAGACTGAAACAATGATGTGCCAAAGTATGTGCCAGATGAAGATCAAAGTATGGTAAGAGTAGCAAGAGCCAGCCAGGACATGCACTTCCAAGACCAAGAACTGCTCAAGAACCACTAGACTTTCCCCTAAATTCTGTTATTAACTGTAACAATTTTTCATTACAAGGTTGAGCATTAAGGGTTATAAAATAGGAGACAAAAAAGAGCTCTAAGTTTCTGTGTTTGTGAGCATAAAAGCTTCTCTATTCTATAGCTTGCTTTTTGCCTGCTCTTTTTTACACCTGGAAGTCTTTTTGGAATCAAGGGGTTACAAGAAAACTTTTGGTAACGATATGATTACTAATTTAGATAACCTCCCTGCTTAAATTCATTTGGAAAACTATGTTGATCAGCAGTGCGTACCTCTAATTAGTTGTGCTGGAATTGAGACATGTACTGTATTTAAGCTGTGATTCATTAAACCTATGCAACTGCTGTTCTGTGTACTGTTGCTTTCTGTGGTGATTATGGCGACAAAAATCTGACAGGAAAGGATTTTCTATGTTTTCCCCCTTCTAAGAGGAAGTATTGGCAACAAAGGTTTAAATCTGCAGCCTTAATATATAAATGCTAGTAAGATGGAAGCTGTATATCCCACAAATAGCAAGGGAAGGTCTCTTACAATAGTCTGCCAAATAGCTATTAGAGCTGTGCAGGAAAAAGTTGCTTTGGAAGACAAAGAGACATTCATGTTGCACGTGTCTGCAAATGTTTAAGAGCTGTGTAAGCACACACTTGGGAAGAGATGCTGCTTCTCTGAAAACCTACAGATAGGTGCTGTGTTCTGCACAGTTGGAAGCATGCTCTCGAATTTGAAGCATTACACATTCTATATATAAGCATGCAACAATAACACTCTCAGAGGGTTTTGAAAGCATCAGTGTCTGCTGCAAGATATAATCAAACTAAATCATTTAATCTATGTGTGTTTGTGTGCATGGATATGGACAGATAGATCCTTACTAAAACACATGCCTTTCAGAAAACATTTCCCCTAGGAAACTTTTTAACAAAATTCCTCAAGGGAGGAGAGGCTGTATATCTCTATTTTCACAATGGATGCATCTTTATTAAGCAAACTTAGTGAAGACTGAATGTTTGTTGTTGTTGTTTAGTCGTTAAGTCGTGTCCGACTCTTCGTGACCCCATGAACCATATTGCGCCAGGCTGAATGTTTATCATTGTTTAAATAGCAATGTCATTCACGAGCAATTCCTAGATAAAAGAGTAAAGAAAAAAAACTAAAGGTAGTAAATACTTCCAGGAAACTGGACATAAGGGTGCAGCTGAACTGGGACTAAGGTTTATATGAAGAATATTTTTCTTCAACAATTACTACGTTAGAAAAGGCATCATTCTCCTTCATATTTGAATTTCAATAAAGTTTGTCCAATATTTATTCTTTGCAGTACAGTCCTAGGACACAAAATATATCTTTTGCACTAGAATAATAAAAGTATGAATTTTCATACAATTATCTCCTGCTTGGTGCAGGAATCCACTAAACCAATCCACCTCTAATATGAAATCCTCCAACGAGAAGCCCATAATTGTTCTACTTTTTAATAGATCTTGCCCTCAGGAAATTCCTCCTAATATTCAATTTGAATCTCCTTCCTTTTCATTTGAGTCCTTTGGTGCTTGTCCTGTTCTGTTTCAACAGAAAACAAATCTGTTCCCTCTTGCATGTGACACTGTTTTCGATATTTATAGACTGCTCTCATATCTCTCCTTAGTCTTCTCTTTTGCAAAGCTAAACATCTACAGCTCTGTTCAATGTTCCTCATAGTGCTTGCCTTCCAGACCCTTATTATCCCGGTTGCTCTCCATGTCTCTTTTGAAGAGTCTAACTATGCAAAGTGGTTAACTGATAAACAGGTAAACTTGGAAAAGGTAAGGATGACATGCCATTCCTAATATGATGTCTTATAAATCTCATTACATGTGCATCTGAATGCTAACACCATGAGAGACGGTTTGGTGTAATGGTTAAAGCAGCAGACTAGAAACTGTGAGACCATGAGTTCTAGTCCTGCCTTAGGTATGAAGCCAGCTGGGTGACTTTGGGCCAGTCACTCTTTTTCAGCTCTAGGAAACAGGCAATGGCAAACCACTTCTGTAATCTTGCCAAGAAAAATGCAGGGACTTGTCCAGACAGTCACCAGGAGTCAATACTGACTTGAAGGCAGTGTTGCCTATATATATTTTCTTGGACAGCATGGTGTTTTTCAAGACCAATGCTGGTCTTGAGGTGTTTAGGAGGCTCACTGCTCTCTTTTTGCATTGTATCTAGTAAGTTACCTAAAGGTGATTAGAAAGGTCTGATAAATTTCAAAATACCTCAGACACTATAGGGATCCTAAGTATTACCTCAGAAGCATATTCTGAGAATGAAATGTTTTTACAAGTGCTGATTTAGTAAAATTGTTTTTTTTTTTACAGCGGATATGATAACTAGAATGACCAGATCTATACTGCAGACGGTAAAAGCAATCATAGAAATGTAGACTCTAACAAACAGCATAACAGGATCTTTTACCAAGGATTCCTGAACAGAGCCTATAAATATGAAAAAGTATTTGAATCCTGAGGTTGTTTTGGACATTTTATTCCTGGTTATGATAAATGGGCCTTTTGCTGGTAAAATTTGGAAATAAAGTGTTCAGCAGATTACAAGCAATTCTAAGTTATCATTACGATGATACATTGTAAAAAGGGTAATATGCAGCCACTTTATCGTAAACTGCTGATTTCTCCTACAAAATATTATAGAATAATATTCAGAATGTCCCACAGAGATCATTTACTCCAAATCCCTGCTTGGTGCAGGATCTGCTAGAGCCTTTCAGACAGATGGCCATCTTAACAGTGAAGGGGAACATACCATTTCGGAAGGTAGCCTATTCCATTGATTGCCAGCTTTTATCATCAGGACGGTAACAATTTCCTAATTTCTAACTAAAACTATTTCTGAACCCTTAGGTTCTGGTCCTATCTTTAGATGGCTAGGGTGAGTTGTATCTCCCCCTCAGTTTTCCCTTCTGCAGGGTAAACATACACAGTGATTTTAACTGTTTCCAATCCCCTCACCATTTGGGTAGTCCTTTCCTCTAAACTGTCAAAGGCCTTTTTTAGACTACAGTACCCCAAAGTGGACACAGTATTCCAAGAGGGCCCTGACCTGGGATAATCTGAACTTTATGCTCCTATTAATACATCCCCCCATCCCAATTTATCTTTTTAGCAGCTGCATCACAGCTTATGCATATTTTGTGATCTACTAGAACACTGAGATCCTTTTTACATGTTGTACTGTCAAGCTGGTTATTTACTTACTGTAAATAGCCTATACCTGAATTTCAATTTGACTTCATTTGTTACAACTCATATACCCCTCTAATCTAAACAGGACTCTGAATGGCTTCCATTCTTGAATACAGAAAATTACAACAATCAATGCAGCAACAAAAACAAACAAAAGCAACCCACTGCCCAGCAACAGCACACAGAATCCATTATATAAGGATCTCTTCATATCTGTCCCAAGATGGCTTGGAACAGACAGGTTTTAATGGCTTTACAAAACATCAACAGATTTCAACATTATGCTTTTAATTTTGCTCAGCATGTTTAGCCACTTTCCCGAGATGATAACTTCAGCTCAAATCAGAAAAGTATTAAAGCCAAAGGTAGGAAATTCCTACATCATAGTTCTAGTGATATTCAGATTCTTATAGTCATATTCAGAAAGTGTGAAGGGAAAAAACCCAGATAAGTCCCTACATCACCTTTTTTGCAAGTGAAAGCAGGATCATTTTTGTTGCAGAACACGCTATCTCCACACAACCCTGTATGTGGGTTACATGGTATGTCACCATCACACTTGGGACACATACGTTCACATGTCTCCCCATATCTTCCAGCAGCACAAACTATTAAAGAAGTAAAACGTTATATTAAAGTACAGAGATTGCTTCTGTAATTCACACAATAATAAACATTTGCAATGCTAGAAAAGAATATATTGTGTGCCTATGAGGAAGGGGGAGGTTTGTGGCTCATACTAAATACATTTTTCAAGGAAACTATTTAATAAAAATTATTCAGGACACAATATTTATGAAATCTGAATCATTCATGCATAGATCTGGCATTATTTATTTATATTTCAAATTTGTCACCACTCATCTCAGGGCAGAGCGACTCTGGGCGGTTATGTGATAATGTTTGTTATGCTCATTTTAATTCTTTGTTACTTGTTGTCCTGCAGTCTCCCTCATATCAAAGATATAATAGTAAACTTCTTTGGGCTGGGACCTATTCTGTAATTATTAACTGTGAAACTTATACACACAGGCACTCATAGCACACGCACACACACTTTTCATTTACATTACATATGCACATCCATTCAAACAGCACTCACACACAGGATAGCCATAAGAGAGAAGCTTTAACATTTCCCCTATCCTCACTACTGAGAATTGCATTTTGTTCATAACATTGCCTCCCATTGTGCCTGTTTTAGCCTCACTTCTGATAATGCTGAAGTTACTGAAATATTGTTGCTAGTACGGCAGGCTGCTTACATCCTGCATAGCATTCAACAGTCATTCTGGCAACGCTGTGAGAGGGGCAGAGAGTATAAGAAATCATTACTGTAATTAGAAGGCAGTATCTTATTTTGGGACAGTCAGTCCCAAACTGACAGGAAACCTTGGTAGGTTGAAGGTCTCAAACAAGACATTTAGAAAAAGCACACACTAATCATTTTGCCATGTTAATCCCTGCAGACAAAAACAAATTATAAAGAATTGTATACATATTTCCACTGCATACTTGATTTGATCCAGGTTATCACTGTTTTTTCTCTAGTATTATATAGGTCCATACTAGTGTGCATCAAGAAATCTTTTCCAGCATGTGTCACTCCAGTACATGTTTTCAAGGCTAAACAGGCCTGCTTAGCTTGAGCCAAGGTAGAATATTTAGCAGCTGTTCCATCAGGCAAATAAAATGCTCTTCCATCGTATCCCACAAAGAGATCAACAACTGTTAAAAATAAAAGCAACCATCAAGTAAAACAATTTTGATAAAATATTAACATGAATTAACATGCAGCTGATCAATGTGCAACCCGCAATTCATGCATAGGTAAGTACAGCCTGTGGATAACAATCTGACTGGGGGGGAGTGGGGAGAACAAACCTAGAAGAACAAGCTGCTTAAGTTTTTATAGATATGTGTATGTAGAGGGAAACTTATTTTTAATATGTCACTTTGTTTTGTTTTTTTAATAATTTTTTTTATTCTTTACAACAAACACAAAACATACATAAACAAACAAGAACATACAAAGGCATAAAAAAGAACATCTATTTTATACCGTGTGTCAACCAGTTACCAAATCATTGGTGCCCCTTTCATAATCTTCACTCATTTATATAAATTCTCATATCATCTATTC